CTTATGATTATAGTAACCAATTTAAACTTAGCATCAAGCTTATCATTATTTACCTGTCCACTAGATTAGCACCTGTACTAGAGCACTCACTTATTAGGAGCAAACAATATTAACCATAGCAGGTATAATAAGGTTGTCATCATCTTATCATCCTTTCTGAACCATTATGTTATTTAGTGCATCTACATTGGAGATAAGCCCGTCAAGTTCTCACTAACCTGGAGAGACGGCGACTCGAATTGAATTACAACTCAGCTGAGGGGGTATTCCTAACTCTCACCCCAGCATACTTTGCAAGAGTAGCCGTGGGTCACCTTTTGGAACAACTCAGAACCAAATTCATGGGTTCGATCAACACCAGACTCTCGGGGATTACCCTTCCGCCAGACGATCAGGACTTTTAAATCACCGCCTTGGACTCACGCACGGCTCCCTTCCGAGGCGCACTTTATACTTATCGACTCCCGGCCGAGGTGAGCTACTCGGCTTCGTGGTCGGTCTCCAGCACCCGGCCAACTAAGAGAGAGGCATGCGTTCAACATGAACAGAAAGGCTCCAAGATTAAGTCCTTAATCGACACGCATTTGAGTCACCGCAAACCGGCAAGCCCCGTCCGGGTCTTCATTTCAATTAAGACCGGTTCTTTTCCACGATAGCAAATATAGACAACCGTGCCACATGTAGATTTCTATATCTCGCAGGTGATAGGAAATCACCCGACTTCTACCGAGTTTGAGCAGGGCTAAGCACTACACGAGCCTGAGCTACATAGGATTCAGGGTATCAATATGTGGACAATGATTGGATAACCAATGCAAAGAAGTGTTTGCATCCAATACCTAAAGTTAATGCAACAATATATATATGTAACAATAATATCAGAATCGCATTTCGGAAATTAGGAGGCTTAATATGCTCCGGCTTGCCTTTCACAAAGTTGCACAGACGGTGATCCGGGCACTCAACGGCGACCTCGTCGGCACTTCTTCCGAAGGTCGCACCTCCCGAACCTTCGATGTGTCATTTCGCTGCTCGCTTCGGTTCCTCGAATTCTAGCAGGTCACTCCTTCCGTACACCTATTGCATGCCGATGCACGAGATAAATATCATGGATGCATAAGGAAATGACATGATGCTCATGATGAATGAATCACGATAAGTGTTTAACGAAAACATTATCGACACTCGCTTACCGATTAAGAATAGCTCTATTCAAATCACTTTAAAACAGGTATCTAACTTAACTTAAAGAACAAGATCAACTTACCTAACTTGCATAACCTAAGATAAAATGCTCATCTTCGCTTAAAGCCTAACACCTAGGAACATTACCACAAACTTAGAAATAGTAAAGGCATACTTAAAACAACAGCTTAAAGCTTCATATGCAAACGGGTAGTTCCTTAATTCAATCACAACAAGAGTTTTACAAATCCAAATGACTTGCAAGAGGACATTCTGGAAAGCTTATGAAATTCTCTACAAATCATTTGTAAATATCAAAGCATGATTCTTAAGTTAACCAAATCGAATTCCAGCGAAGGCTACGGCGCTACGTCTCGAACGTGAGGCTCTACGAGCTTCAGCAGTGCACCTAGGATCTAGCGCGAGGCAGAGGAGGGGATGGGAGGGTCACGGTGGCGGTTGTTCACATGGAGCAACAACGCCGGCGAGAACAACCATGGCGGCGGTGGGGACGAAGTTGCGATTTTTCCTTACCACGCGCGCAATCGGACCGACGGTGGGGTGGAGAAGGTAGAGGAGACCACGGCGAGGCTACTGACGGACTGGGCAACCTGTTTTTGCGGTGGCGAATGAGCACGACGATGGCGACGCGCGGTCGGTAATGGTGGACACCGCTTGCTGGCTTACGCAGCGCATGAGGAAGGAGAAAGGAAAAGCAAATGGCGCGGCGAGTCGCGTCGGCAAAGCGCTGGTGCTCTTGTCACGCCAAATAGCTGCCCAGGAGGAGGCACGCCAGCGTGGCAAAGATGCATGAAGCGACCGGCGACCGACGCCGCAGCACACACGCGTCAGGCGTTTTCAAAATTGGCCAATCATCAGAGCATCCATTCGATGAAGAAAACCGGTCGACGGCGTTATTTCAACGTGTCAACACGGCTAATCTCATCGCACCTTTGCAAAAATGGTGTATAAGAAAAATGTAGGTCTACCATCCATCTACAATTTCTCTTCAAGGACCATTCCCTAATTCGCCATGGATCAACAGTTACATGAAGCCAAAGTGAGCTTGATGCAACTGAAAATGTAACTACGACTTAGAATATTTTCTAAGTGTGAAATCAGCATGAAATACTAATTTGCAGGCCATGTTTGACCATGTTCCACACATTTTCATGAGTTGGCCATAAACAACTTTTGTTCCTTGACAAATTAGCTACAACTTTGGTAAAGAGTGCACAGCCATGCAAAGTCTCTAAGTGGGACTTTTGAATCAGTCAAACAGTGACACTCCAAGGGTCAATTCTAGTCAAACCTTCACTTGAGGGCATTTTGGTCATTTTGATCTACATGAACAATGTCCCAACAAGTAACCTAAGTGTAGTTAAGGTGTAATAGACCATGATCAACCACTTTACAAAATTGTTATACCACTTCTAAAGATCACATGTGATAAAGAAATTAAAACAAGCAATTCATTCATATGTTTCAATTCCATGTTTCATGACCTTGTGGTTATTTTATACGTGTCACATTTCTACCATGTTGCCATGTTTCATGGTATAAGAAACTCAAGTTGCATTCACATGTTACACCATTACTATTCACAACACTCAAGTAAGAAACATACACAATTGGAAAATGTTGCATATGCATGTTTCAGTAACAAAGGCATGATGAGATAGATGATGCACATGTTTATGAAATGAAATGCAATTAGTGGAAGCCAAACACCTAGGGTGTTACAGCTACCGCATGAGGAGAAGAAGAGGGACCACCGTTGGTGGTGTAGAGGAGTCTAGGTTTGGTAATATTGGTGGCGTGGTGGCTCTGGCTGTGTCTATTATAGTAATGCCTCCCCAGTATTTATAGGCCATACCGGAGGACAAAAGGAAATTACAGTAGCCCCCCACTGACGGGGGGTCTGTTTACATTGGCGTGGGGATATTATGGTCATTTGACCCCTCACCCCAACCAATGTCCAAACGCCGTCGAGAGCTCCAACTGAGGGGACCACAATTCTCCGTCTTCCTTCAGATGGCGATTGAATGGGCGTCGCGAGGGTTCCCTCTCCCAACGTCCATGACCTCATAGACGACGCTCAGTCCTGCAGAAACAGAGGGTCAAAGTATCCCTCGTGGGGGTGTTTGCAAGGGTAACACGGGGGTAAGTCAATGAAGGTGTCCCAATGCCTGCGCCCATCAGGGTGATGCAGGCGCTTGCCCTGGACGAGGGTCCTCAGCGGCGGCAAGGCGCCCGATGATGTTGTGGGCCTAGAAACAAGCAAGGGTCCTGCTCAGGCCGAGGTGAAGGTGGGGTGTCACGCGAAAGGCGTTCCCCCCCAACATCTGGGTTTAAAATTAAGTCAATATTTTTTAAGATTTATAGAAATACTATTAGTATTTGTATCTTCAAACATATTTATTATAAACATAAATTATAAATCTGATACAAATATAATAAATCAGATTTATAATTTATGCATTATAAGTATCAGTATATATTTGTTTAAGTTTTGACAAACTTAAGATTTACTGACTCGTTAAAAAGCGAGAGTTGGATCGGAGAGTACTTATGCACGTGTGGCCATCAGAAGCTGAACAGCAATTGGTAAGTTGGTATGCACTGCAATGATGGTGCACCCCTCAATCCATGGCCATTCTTTGAGCTCTAGCTCTTACATGCCCCACCCATTTGTTGGTTCATCGACAGACCCCATATGGCCAGATATGTGTGGCTCGCACACTTACACTTGCTCTGACTTGTTTAATAATTAAACAAAGACCGACCACTTTAAGCTAAGCTTCGTTCGATTCTGTACGCCTGCACATGGAGTGGCTCTCCCATATATTCTCAAACTGCTGGTCTGCCATATATACACATACATATATAGTTCTTGTCACCGACCACGCACATTTTGTATGGTCGGCCAACATGTGTCACGCAAATGCTCGGTTGATTTGTTTGTCCGTGTGCAGTGGGAGTGTGGGACCACGCACACCCATACACCACAAAACAAAATTACAGAAACATAAAGAAAATTAATATGTAGTGATAGAGACATATGCTATGCACTCCCTCTGTTTCAAATTATGAGACACATTTTGGTTTTTATAAAAACATTATTTTATTATCTAGACACAATGTATATCTTAGTGCATAGCAAAAGTTACGACGTACGTAGAAAAGATAAAACGTCTTATAGTTTAAAATCGAAAGTAGTTTTTTTTTCTTTGATGCCAAATAATGTTAGAATTGAGTTCTTGAACTTTTGTTATTTTTTATAAAAAAAATTTAGTATATATAAATGGTCTGATTCTCTTGGACACCAAAGACGAGCCGGATTCATTTTCCTTATACCAACTCCAACAGATGTGCTGTCTTTGTTGTGTAGGCTATATTTGGAATTTTTTAGCAAAAATTGAGCTCCACCAGTAATGCTATCTGATTTGCTAAAATAGCAAGTTGGGTATCCTGAAATTTCGCTCGGCATAGAAAGCAAGCCTGCGCCGCTCGCCATCTCCCGAAATCGCTCGCCTCGTCTGCTTGCCCCCGCGCGCTGAAGTTTGCCGTCGTGATCGCCTTCTCCTCTCACCCGCTCCTGCCGCCGCCGCCGCCGCCGCACAGCCGGAGCTGCTAATCGCGGCCCCCTCCGAGTCGCCCTTTTCCTCTTCGCCGTGAGCCGCTTCCTCATGGACAGGCCGCTTCCTCCGAATCGCTACCCCGCCGCACCGCCGGATCAGCTTCGTCATGGACAGGCTCCGTCGAGCGCCGGGGAGATCCCAACTGCTCCCCCCTATTATCCCAACATCAGGCAGATGGGAGCAGCAGGCGGATGGGAGCAGTATCAGGCGGATGGGCAGCAGGCGGATGGGAGATCCCAACTGCTCCGGGGAGATTACAACTCGTCTTCGTCGATCCCGGCAGCCGGCGGATGGGAGCAGCAGGACTTAGCGGTGCTTCCTTGGTTGGAGAATGCGGCGCAAGGAGGCCAGCGACGACGAGTCCTTGCACCGAACAGTTCTGCTGCTGCTTCGTCGAACCCATTCCTCGACGTGTGCTCCGGTGAGTCTAATTCAGTAGGTATCTCTCACCGTCGTTTAGCAACTGTAGGGGGTCCATGCTTGATGGTTCAGTGTTTACAGTCCCATTAGTTTATAGTTGGCAGGGAGCTCATCAGCAGCCCCATATGATTGGTGATATGCAGGTTTTTTTTGAGTGGTACAGGATTGCAGAGTTTTTTTTTTGTGTGTGTGTGTGTTAGAGGATCGCAGGTTCTTGCAATTAAATTGCAGTGAGGTGACTTGACAAAGTTCAGTCATGGGCAGTCCATTTTCTGAACTTCACTGTAAAAGATGTTCACAAATGGATGTAGAAAAGGTTAGTTCAGTTGAAAGCAGCAAGTCAACCAACTAAGATAAAACATTTTATTTGCTTGTATCATGGATGAGTTTCACTTATTTTTAGTTCTATACTTCAAGCAGCTTTGGTTTCCATCCCAAGAAAGTTCAGACTACTACTACTACTAGCGCTGTACCATTGCTGGTTGAATGATGCACAATGGCAGCCGTAGGCAGTAGCAGAGATCAATGTGAACTTGTGGCGTTCAAATTCAAAGCTGCAGTAGTACATCTGAAAATTTTGAGAAAACTCTGTGTCTTTTGAACTGAAAAATGTGTGAAATTTTCTCATAGTAGTACAGCGTCTTTGAAACCTCATATATGGCTGGTCATTTCAGCACATCTGTTACCACCTTGTTTAATAGTGCAAGCACATTGGTGCCTTTCCTGAAAGTAGCACATCTGGTACCACCTTGTTTAATAGTGCAAGCACATTGGTGCCTTTCCTGAAAGAATTTGTACTACATCTGGGCAAGCACACCTTCTGGCTATAATTTGTAGTACATCTGGGCAAGCACACCTTCTCAGTCTGCAGAAAATTATTAGGCTATAATTTGTAGTACATCAGGGCAAGCACACCTTCTCAGTCTGCAAAAAATTATTAGGCTATAATTTGTACTACATCTGGACAATGCACCTTGTGTTTTGTTTCTTGTTCAGTTCATCATCTAATATGTTCCTTGTGTTTTGTTTTTACAGTCAAAATGGATTCAGGGAGACCTTTGACCGACATGATTATGGAAGGTTTCACTCCAGATGGAGTGTCTACCAATATCCCACCTCATATGAAATACAAGCACGCGATGACGTCCCTGCTGCGGTCAAAGTAATTAAAAAAAGGTCCAAAAATTTTACTGTTAAAGAGGACGAGATGTTGATGTCAGCATGGCTAAATGTGAGCTTGGATCCTATGAGAGGAGTCAATCAATCAAAAGATACCTATTGAAAAAGAATACATGATTACTTTCATTCACACAAGGGTTTTGAATCTGACCGCACACAAAGCTCTCTAACGAGTCGGTGGTCTAGTATACTACATGAGTGCAACATATTTGCTAGTTGTGTTTCGAAGGTAGAGGCCTGAAATCAGAGTGGTGCATCTGTTGATGACAAGGTTAGATGACCTACCTTCACATGCTAATTTCCTATATGTTTTTGCTGAATCTCATGTGTCATCTTTGTTTCCCATTGCAGCAAGCAAACGCATTAACTATGTATAAGAATTTTTTTTTGAAACGGTCGGTAGGACCTTTGCCAAACTTGTATTGATAAAGAAGGGAACTATGTATAAGAATGACGACCCATTTCACAGGACTTTCCAGTACATACATTTGCTGGAAAAAGCTCAAAGACCATTCGAAGTGGATGAATAGGCGCCAGCCAACTGGACCTCAGAAACCATTCAGAAAAAAGCAAAAGACCACTGCCAGTTCAACTCCTGCTACTGATGCACCAGACCCTGTCACTCTGTAGCTGAGACTCAAACAACAATAACCACAGTGGAGAGGCCTACAGGGGCTAAGAAGGAAAAGCATAAATTAAAGCAGCATTCGAGCATTGAAGATTTGGATTATTTATTGGCAAAGAAGAAAGAGGTGGATGTTGAGAAGGAGTTGAAGAAAGAGGAGAGGGAGTTGAAGAAACAAGAGATGTGCCAAAAAGCCCTTGCTTTGCAGGAAGAAAGGATAAAACTTGACAAAGAAAAATTTGATTTCGAGCAGGATCGAGAGGAAGAAAGAATTATGAATGTTGATATGAGCACCATGTCAACCAGAGAGTAACTGTTCTACGATGATCAACAGAAGAAAATACTTGCAAGACGACAACTTGAAAATTGATAGTACCATGATCTTCAATTTTTAGATTTGGGCATAGTATGAGACATGTCTAATTTTCTGAAACATTTTAGTTGCCTCTAGTTCACAGCATATTGGAATGATTACTGTTCTTGCATGAACCTTGTTATCTATATTATTCTGTAAAGCTGCTTGTGACGGTTGCACCATCACTTGTATATGTTTATGTCATACTGATAGGGGTAGTATAAATGCCATCCATTGTATCAATGCCTTGAACTATTAAAATACCGATAAAATAAATTAAGAGGTGTCCTCACCTAAACACAGATTCATTATAGTATCTATTAAATCAGACAAAGAAGATTGGAAAATCAGACAAAGAAGTTTGGAAACTAATACAGAATGCCTTGATGCCGTGATAGTAAATGAAATAATTCAACAATACTATTTGTATATAAATCTAGAAAATTATTCCACAAGTGCTCCATAAGATCGGCTTAAAGCTGTGTGTGTGTCTCCTTGTCCTTGATCTTCTTGTAGTTCTACATAAATGCTTCAAACTCAGGTGTATCATCGTGTGATACAGTCACCTTTTTTTTGTCACGTCATCATATCTGAAATCGTTTTTGTCGACTCCCTCGTCTCCAACAATCATATTGTGCATAATGATACAAGCCGTCATGACAAGTTGAATTGTATCCTCATCCCACACACGTGCCAGTGCTTGAACAACTGCAAAGCGACCTTGTAGAACCCCAAATGCTCGTTCGACATCCTTCCTACAAGCTTCTTGTGCTTTTGCAAAATATTTGTTCTTATTACCCTGTGGCTCGGGTATCGTCTTCACGAATGTGGCCCAAGATGGATATATACCATCTGCTAGATAATAACTCATAGTATAATCATTTCCATTGATGCTATAATTTACCTGTGGCCCTTGACCTTCAGCAAGCCTTGCAAATATAGGAGATCTTTGAAGAACATTTATATCATTGTGCGAACATGACATCCCAAAGAATGCATGACAAATCCAAAGATCTTTAGAAGCAACAGCTTCTAGAATAATTGTAGGCTCCTTTTTATGTCCCCTATACATACCTTGCCATGCAACAGGACAATTCTTCTAGGTCCAATGCATACAATCAATGGAGCCAAGCATGCCAGGAAGACCTCTACTCTCACCGATCGCAAGTAATCTGGCAGTATCATCCTCGTTGGGCAACCTCAAGTATTCATGTCCAAATACCTGAACAACAGCATTGACAAACTTTCTAAGACTTTCTAGAGCAGTACTCTCCCCAATACGGATGCAGTCATCTATAGCATCAGCTGCTACTCCATAAGCTACATCCGAAATGTCGCCACCACCTTCTGCAAACAAGATAGTCCTAGGGTTCCGGCTGCATTCCTCTTCTGCACGAAATAGTCATCATACTCCTCAACGGCATTCATTATACGTACAAACACGTGACGCCGCATTCGAAACCTATGCCACCCGATACAAAATTAGCCACAATTGAATGCATGAAATAAACATAACTCAACAAAATATGAGAAAATTAACGTGTGCCTAAAATAGCTCGGCCCATATGTAGGATTTACTGAGAAATAATCTTCATATAGTCTGATGTGCCCCGACTGCCTATCACGATTCAGAACGCGATGTCCCTCTACAGAACCACGATGGCCTGTTGAATTCACAATGTTTGGCACTACTATGTGTGCTGCCGCAACATAGAGTTCATCGTCATCATCCGAAGATGACGACGACGAAGACGAATCCATCATTTCATCCAATACATCTTCAACATCCATTATAGACCTTTGATTACGAGGGTCCGAGGAATTTATTCAAACTCCTGCACGAGGATTGAAATAAGATGCCTACTAATTATTTCTCATGCATTACCTGAAACTAGAGGGACTAATACAGAATGTAGATGGCTGCATAACTGAAATATAAATCAACATGAGTCGGTGACCTAGTTGAAGGCACTGATGCTCCTTCACAGAATGATTGCATCTGACTACAGCATAGATGTGCAGTATCCACAGGTCGGCATAGGCAAGACAATGAAGCACGATGCGGTGGGAGACTGGGAATTACAGAGTAGAGAAAGCAAGCACCTTGTTCGGTGAGTGAGTGCGACGCCGGAGGGAGCCAGACGCATACGAAGTTTCCATCGCCGCCAGGGACGCCGCGGGAGTGCGATCCTATCAACGTGAGGCCGCACTACGGGACTCATTGAATTTGCCGAGTGCCAGGGGCACTCGGCAAAGTCCAATTTGCACTCGGCAAAGACTTTGCCGAGTGCTGCACTTAGCAAAGAGGCAAAAAAAGAGTCGGCAAAGACGTCTTTGCCGAGTGTCTTTTATCGGACACTCGGCAAAGCCTTTGCCGAGTGCCGACACTCGGCAAAGTTGGAACCGAAAAAAAACCCGAAAAAAATGGAAATTTTTACCCAAAAAAAATGGAATTTTTTTTAATTGGTGGAGGCCCCCACCGGTCAGCGCCCATCCATCTCCGGCTTTTTTCGCGTAAATTTCACGGCTACGCGACCGATGGGATTCGAACCCAAGACCTCTCGCTGCGCACAAACCTCCTCTACCACTACACACACTGTCACTTGTGTCTAGATTCCGTTTTAGTTCCCAATATATTATACTAAACCGAGTGTAAATTGCTTATTTGAGGCCCTAAATAAATTCAAATCAAAAAGTGGTCAACTACAAAGTTTCATAACTTTTTGAGATCTACAATTTTCATTTAGTAAGTTTTTCCATCCGAGGTCGTTTGAAAATTTTGAATTTTAAATTTGAGAGATTCAAACGTAGTTTTGCATGATAAGATGATTTCAAATCAAAAAGTTGTCAACTACATAGTTTCATAACTTTTGGAGATCTACAATTTTCATTTAGGAAGTTTTTTCATCCGAGGTCGTTTGAAAAATTCAAATTTTCAAATTTTCAAATTCAAACGTCGTTTTTGCATGAAAAATGATTTCAAATCAAAATGTTGCCAACTACAAAATTTCATAACTTCTCAAGATCTACAAAATTTATTTTGGTCATTTGTTCATCCGACATAGTGGTAGTAACATTGTTCACAAATCATATATATCTCTCTTCTATTTTCATGAAATTAATATGAGAGATGTATATTTTATGAACAACGTTATTGTCGCTTTGTCAAATAAAGAAATGACCAAAATAAACTTTGTAGATCTTGAGAAGTTATACAACTTTGTAGTTGAAAAGTTTTTCATTTGAATTCATTTAGGGCCTCAAAAATTGATTCGAAAAACTGATTTGCCGAGGGCCAAAAAAATACACACGGCAAAATACCTCTTTGCCGAGTGCCAAAACATAGGCACTCGGCAAAATACGGCTTTGCCGAGTGCTAGAAAAAAAGCACTCGGCAAACTGAGAGTAAATTACTTGTTTGAGGCCCTAAATGAATTCAAATCAAAAAGTGGTCAACTACAAAGTTTCATAACTTTTTGAGATCTACAATTTTCATTTAGTAAGTTTTTCCATCCGAGTTCGTTTGAAAATTTTGAATTTTAAATTTGAGAGATTCAAACATAGTTTTGCATGATAAGATGATTTCAAATCAAAAAGTTGTCAACTACATAGTTTCATAACTTTTGGAGATCTACAATTTTCATTTAGGAAGTTTTTTCATCCGAGGTCGTTTGAAAAATTCAAATTTTAAAATTTTCAAATTCAAACGTCGTTTTTGCATGACAAGATGATTTCAAATCAAAATGTTGCCAACTACAAAATTTCATAACTTATCAAGATCTACAAAGTTTATTTTGGTCATTTGTTCATCCGACATAGTGGTAGTAACATTGTTCACAAATCTTATATATGTATCTTCTACTTTCATGAAACTAATATGAGAGATATGAGAGATGTAGATTTTATGAACAACGTTATTGTCGCTTTGTCAAATGAAGAAATGACCAAAATAAACTTTGTAGATCTTGAGAAGTTATACAACTTTGTAGTTGAAAAGTTTTTTCATTTGAATTCATTTAGGGCCTCAAAAATTGATTCGAAAAAAATGCACACGGCAAAAAGCTTCTTTGCCGAGTGCCAAAACAAAGGCACTCGGCAAAATACATCTTTGCCGAGTGCCAGAAAAAAACACTCGGCAAAGACGTATTTTGCCGTGTGTTTTTGTTTGCCGAGTGTATTTTATTTGGCACTCGGCAAACACGGTCTTTGCCGAGTGCCCGATAAAATACACTCGGCAAAGCCTCGGCACTCGGCAAATCGCCGGTTTCCGGTAGTGTTTTTGGCCGCCGCCGCGCGAGTGCGATCTATTTCAGGCCGGTTGGGATTTGGATGGCAGGTACATTGACGTGGTATGTTTCAAATATACAAGAGGCAAAATAGCTAGGCTGTTGTAGACTTCTCTTTTTTTTAAGCACTTTTCCATTTTACACAATGGCTAAAATAAGCAATTTGGCTATTTAGTTTTACACGATCTGTTGGAGTTGCTCTTATGCAATATAAAAAAATGTGAGTAGCACATTCGATCCTCATGCAAGTTTGATGGAGTGTTAGTGTCGAGCATTTTGACCTGAAATTCTGAATGAACAATTAGCACAACTGTACTACATGTATAGCACAGCAATGCAAAGAAGAAGAGGCATGCAGCCACTTGGTCAGGGTCAGAGCAAATGGATGGTTGGCTAACTGTTATTGGTGTGGTCCAGATCAAAAGCTAGCAGCAGTCAGCTGAAGAAGCCGAAGGTGTGGCTCATGCATGCGATAGAGAGTAGGAATCGATGAATTGAAGAAGCAGACAGCATGCAAGTGCAGGGACAACAAGAGACAAGACGTCCCTGCACCTAGCTAGCCCAAATCGATCGCCTGATCCATGATGACGGCGACGACCACTACTGCTCGCGTTGGGCTGCTGGATGATCGATAGCCACACCCACCCACACTTGCAATTGCAACCGCAACTC